CTTGTACATCTGTTGAGACTATATCCGCAGCCCCTGCTTCACGATTGAGAACCCAATTTCCGCTTTTCACTGAATATGCTCCATCCTTTGTATACGCCCACACCAAGCGATCCCTTAATCTCGTTGCCGGAGGAAATGATCTAATGGTTTTAACATCACAAGCAGGGAAAAGCTCATTTAGTCGAGAGACATTCCATTCACCATTTTCTGAGATCAAGGACGCAACTTTCAAGTTCAGATCCATCATTAAGTCCTTGTTTATTGGTCGTCTTGGGTAATCATCAGCAATCCACTTGTCAGCCCATATACTAGTGTCCTTACCATCTCCAATGGACTTCATGAGACCTCTCTCCAACAGTTCTCGACCAAAAATAATGCTCCTCCATGCATATGACGGTCTATAGCCAATTTTTGCCTCTAAGAATGTTTTCGTAGCAAAATATTTAGCCTTATAAACCCGGGAGACCAACGAAGTCGGAGAGTCCAATAATCTCCATGCTTGTTTAACTAAAAGTGCTTGGTTAAACCGACCAATGTCCCGAAAACCTAAGCCACCCTTAGCTTTAGACTTGCAAATCTTCTCCCATGAGACCCAATGCATTTTATCTTTGCCCTCTGTTTCATTCCACCAGAATTGCGCCATAGCACTTGTGATTTGTTGACATTGGTACTTCGTTAAACGAAAGCAAGACATAGCATAAACCGGAAGTGCCATCGCTATCGACTTAATTAAGACCTCTTTACCACCCAATGATAACGTCTTCTCATACCATCCGCTAAGTCTCGCTTTAAGTCGGTCTGTTATAAAGCCAAGGAGCTCTCTCTTAGACCCGCTAAAGCACTCCGGCAGTCCCAAATATTTACCAGCACCACCTTCCTGTTCAATACCCGTGTATGATCCAAAAACTTTCTTCATGTATGGATCCAACTTATGCCCAAAGGTAATTGAAGATTTCTGGAAATTGATCTCTTGACCCGATGCTTGCCCGTACAGCTGCAGACAATTTAAGAGTTCCAACACTTCACGGAGACTCGCTTGACATAGAAAGAGGCTATCGTCCGCAAATAACAAATGTTGGATCGAAGGGGAGTTTGGTGTAAGTCGTAATCCAGTTAGACGTCCCTCACCTTCAGCTTTATTCATTATGTGTACTAAGGCCTCCGCACAAAGGATAAACAAAAATGGCGATAAAGGATCACCTTGTCGAATACCTCTTTCCGGTTTGATGAAACCGTAAGACGAGCCATTGATGATAACCGAATATGAGACCGAGCGTACACAACTCATTATCCATTGCACCCACTTGATATCAAAGCCCAACCGGATCAATAATTCTTCTAGAAAGTCCCACTCTACCCTATCGTACGCCTTAGACATGTCCGTCTTAATTGCCATGAAATCTTCATTGCAGTTCGGATTTGTTTTCAAAGCATGGACCATTTCATGAGCTAAAAGGATGTTATCCGAAATGAGTCTACCCGATACAAAGGCTCCTTGCGTGTCCGAGACGATAGTGGGAAGGAACTGCTTCAATCTGTTACATAAAACCTTAGAAACATTCTTGTCAGCCACAGAGCAAAGGCTGATGGGCCGTAGATCAGACATTTTTGTAGGATTAGGCTTCTTCGGGATTAAACATATCTGAGTAAAATTCCATTCCGGAGGAAGAAATCCAGATAGAAAAAACTGTTGAATCTCAGCGATCACCTGTGATCCAACAATATCCCAATGTTTTTGATAAAAATGTCCCGACATTCCATCCGCTCCGGGGGTACTATCTCCCTTAATACTGAAGACTGCTCGTTTGATTTCCTCACTAGTAACAGGCTTGGTTAAAACTGAGTTCATATGACTTGTAACTCTTGGTAGCATACCTTCCAAAGCTTCTGGAACTGAGACCGGATTCGAGGTAGAGAACATTTCCCGAAAATATTCCACCGCAATCTCTCCTTTTGAACCTTCAGAAAATTGTTCTACCCCGTGTTTATCTAGCAGTGAGAGGATGCGATTTTGAACCCGTCGTCGTTGAACACTACCGTGAAAGAGATTTAAATTTTCTAAAATAATATAGATTTAAAATTCTTATATTTTTAGAATTCCTAAATATAGAAAGTGAATCTTTCAAAAAGGAAACTGAATAGTTATTAATTAATACGTTTTTATTGTTTACATTACGATCTGAGGATGTTTAGAATACATATTCTAATTTTTTAGATGGAAAGAGAAAATTAAAACCGGTAGAGGAAACGGGAGGAGGAGTGCCGTGAATCACTTCGACGACTCAGTTCTTCGCCGGCAGACAAAAAGATTTTTTTGGTTCTTTCACGATTTTGATATTTCTTCTTCGTGGAATCGTGGGCAAATTCTGTTGGGCTCTTGCGCCAAAAACAATTCTGTAATTTGTATTGTTGTTGGGATTTTAATAGCCTTTTTTATTTTTAACAAAGAGTATTTGAGAAAACATAAATTTATCTGAATTTTGTAAATAAATTAAGAAATATTTTTTTTTTTGATTTTGTTAATTACATTTTCGAAAATATAGGGTAAATTTGGGTATTGGTTTTTAAAAAATCTATTTCACCAAACTTTTTATAGAAAGGTATTTATGGACATTTATCCATTAAAACATCATTTCTTTCTAAGTTTCCCTTGATTTATTCGGCTGTAAGAAAATTAGGTCCGAAATAGAACAAAATTTGTTGGGAAAATTGGAAAAAAAGGATGTCTACTAAATGTTTTGTCATATACATTTTTTTTGTGAGATTGTCACTTTGGACGAAACTACCCCTACATCTTATTTTAAATATTAAAAACATTTAGAAAAACAGGTAGATATACAAGAGTAGAGATGATTTGAAATGATTTTTTAGATTTAGTTGAAAAAGGTTGAATTTTTGATAGGTAAAACTTCGTCTACTTTTGTTAGAAAATGTTTTCTATAGTTTTGCGAAAGTCAGAGTGTGTATTCTACATGTTTGTACATGTTCTACATATTTTAGACTAGTTTTCTGTTCTGGAAATTTTAGAAGTCCAAAAATCATGTATCTAAAATATTTTAAACATGCATTCTACGCTTTAATTTATGTTCTAAATTTTTTTGAATATTCATTCTACTAATTTACTACATCTTCTGCCAACGTTAGAAATTGTAATCTTCTTTTAGAATATAAATTCTACGGTATTGTAGATTTGGTTTTCTGAAAATTTTAGAATTCTCTAAATATAGAAAGTAAATTTTGAGAAAAAGAAACAAAATATTTAATGTAGATTACGATTTAAATAGATATTTATTGTTTAGATTATGATCTACATAATGTATAAATCGTTGTCCACGTTTTTTAGAAAAGGTTAAACCCAAAAACGTTTCTAAACCCTAAGCTAAGCCACCACTTTCGTTTCTAAAAATATAAGAACACGTTTTCCTTCAAATTCTCTATTTTTTCTTCAATGATTTGTGTCTTAGTTTTTCAATGCACATCTACGTAAAGAGTTGTGTGTAGAGATTGTATGACAAGAAAGAGTGGAGATTTACTGTATGGACACACCATGGAATAATATACTTGATAATTATTTTGTGTCAACGGATTATTTACTTAAAAAAAAAGATATTTATTGTATGGACACACCATGGAGTAATATCGGGAAATCGTCTTATTCATACCCCCACACTTACACTATGTTCGATTCATGCCCCGACTATATGACTGTGCTAAAACATACACCCACTTTAAATATATTCAAATTACATACCTGATCTTGTAATTTTGTGCTAATTCATACCAATTTGCTAACACTGTTACTGTGCCGTCAAATGTCGATGACATGGCCTCCACGTGGCAATGACGTCGTTTTAAAATAGACACGATTTACATCAATATTTGTTATATAACTTGAGAAAAATTGAATCAATTCGATCAAAAAACTATAAATTTGAATGATAAATACCTCATTTTTTCTCAGCTTGATCCCGATGACGTTTTCCAACCCTCTTTACCAACATAAATTGAGATAATAAGTATTGATTAGTCTACTTCAATCCTAGGAACTGAAGATCACTCAAAGACTCTCAAACGAATTGCATCACTCGAAAATAGGGTTTTGCTGGAGAGAAAAAAAGAAGAGAATCATCAACTTTTGTTATCAATGAGAAACGATGTCGTTATGTCTCCAATTCTTGTTCTGAGTTTTAATCTAAAACGACGTCGTTGCCACGTGGAGGCCATGTCATCGACATTTGACGGCACAATAACAGTGTTAGCAAGTAGGGGTATAAATCATGTATGTAATTTGAATATATTTAGAGTGTGTGTATGTTTTAGAACAGTCATATAGTCGGGATATAAATCGAACATAGTGTAAGTGCGGGGGTATGAATTAGCCGATTTCCCGAGTAATATCCTCCATTTAAGTTTGGATTTCAGTTTGCCAAATTTTGATTTGGATTAATTTGTTCAGATTTGGATAGAAAAAAAAAGATTAAAAAAACAATTACTATTGTAATTAATTTATATTCAAATGTAATAGATAATTATATCTTCAAATATTAATTGTAAACTAAACAATTCAAAATAAAATTTGATTCGAATTCAGAATTTCAGTTCTATTTGAATTAGTTTGGCTCAAATGATTTTTTCAAAAACCCTCTAACAAAACCGTTTTCCATATGTTTAAAAGAAAATTTTACATTTCATTGTTTGACCATCCATCAACGTCTTAAATAACAAAAAAATATCCTAATTTTTTTTAGACCCTAAAAAATTATTCAGGGATTTCGACTTGAGATACCTAATAACTAAAAAACAAAAATCACCGGCAGAGAGAAAAAAAAAAAAAAAAAATGGATGAAATGAAATCTAAAGAGGCGTGTCAAGAGTAAACAAGTCTGAACAATTCTCCGTAGAAAGTGGTGGGTCTCTCCAGCCATTTACGATTCGACATCTAATTAACCCACGTGCCTAATTCACTCTCTCATATCTCTATCTTTACCTCCTTTATACCCACATGCCCAAATATCCTCTCTCTTCACTCATGTTCCTTTTATAACCAAAACAAACTTTATCTCTCTCTCTCTCTCTCACAAACAAGAACACAAAAAGTTATGGACAATCTCCGGAAACTTAATCTTCTCTCTGTCTCTCTAACCATAATCTTTGTCTCTCTTACAATAGCCACCAACTTACCTTTCTTTGAATTGAAATATCCCAACAACAACCCTTTTGGGATGTTACTACGGCCGGCACCGATCAAGAACCAGTCCTTGGGTCTACCGGCTCAGGTCGGGTCAGATGAGTGTCAGGTTTGGACCAAAGCATGTTCCGATGAGATTCTTAGGTTGACTTATCAGCCGGATAACGTGGCGTGGCTTAAACGCGTTAGGAGGACGATCCATGAGAACCCGGAGCTAGCGTTTGAGGAGTATGAGACGAGTAGGCTTGTTAGGTCCGAGCTAGACCGTATGGGTATCATGTATAAATATCCGTTAGCGAAAACGGGTATTCGGGCTTGGATCGGATCCGGTGGACCGCCTTTTGTTGCGGTTCGGGCTGATATGGACGCACTACCTATTCAGGTAAACACAACAAAGAAAAGTAAATCTTTTCTTAATTATATGTTTTTAATTATTTAGCTCGTAGTAGTATAACTACATTTTTCGTAGTTTAATTGGGCCGCCTAAACTATACATTACAAATATTAAACAAAAAAACATGATTTTCACGTGTGAGAACACTCTCAGAACCGCCCCTGTTTGTACTGTGTATGTAACAGTAAGACTTTTGTCTATGTTTTTTTCTTGTTGACTTTTAGTTTAATGAAAGAAAAGTTAAAAGATTCAGAAATAATGCAAATTTTTTTATCTTAAATGTACAAGATCTTGTTTAATTATCAATTATAATGGTATAACAATGTTTAAAGTTTAAACTAGTTCATTATATTCTTTGTTCCATGTGACCATGTGAAATGTTCTATTCTAGGAAAGATTGTGTACTTATATTGGTAGTCACTCGCTGACAGAGAGGCTGTGTTAATGATATGCCAGATATGATGATAATGATAGATTGTGTGGTTGAGGTGATATGGTTTATACAGATAAGGCATAGAGATTTGTTAGGATTATTTTTATTTACTATATTGACATAATAATATTATTAGTTGTGGTCATGCAATAGGAAGCAGTTGAATGGGAACACAAAAGCAAAGTTGCAGGCAAAATGCATGCATGTGGTCATGACGCACATGTGACTATGCTTCTTGGTGCTGCCCATATTCTTAAGTCTCGTGAACATCTTCTCAAGGTACTTCATCATCCAACTCTTAATTAGCTTCTTTTTTTATATAACATTATTTGATTTCTTATTTTTAAAAGTGGATGAGATTTGTAAACTTTCTTTCTTGGTGGGTCACTGTTTGTTGTGCTATAATGACTAGTGATGTGGATTAATGATTTGCTTTTAAAGATAAAAGGAAAAGTGAAAACATTCAATTTTGGTAACAGAAGAGTTTTGGTCTTTAGGCCCATAGTTTAGTTGGACCGGAGATCAAAGACAAAGCATATAAATTAGTCCCTTTCTCGTTGCCGGTAAAAACTAAAACATACATTAATACATTTGTGATTCTTTATAGGGAACAGTGGTTCTCTTATTCCAGCCGGCCGAAGAAGCTGGAAATGGTGCGAAGAATATGATTGAAGACGGAGCTTTGGATGACGTGGAGGCTATCTTCGCGGTCCATGTGTCCCATATCCATCCAACGGGTGTGATTGGATCAAGAAGTGGTCCTTTGCTCGCCGGATGTGGAATTTTTCGGGCCGTTATCACTGCCGAAGATAGTGGTGGCGCTGCTAATCTTCTTCTTGCAGCTTCTTCCGCTGTCATTAGCCTTCAAGGAATTGTATCCCGTGAAGCTAGTCCTCTTGACTCTCAGGTACTTCTTAATATCCACAGCAAGATATTTAACAATTGAAAGATGAATTCTGATTCACATTTTCACGAATAGGTTGTATCGGTTACTTCATTTGATGGCGGTCATAGTCTCGATGTGATGCCGGACACGGTGGTCCTCGGTGGTACTTTCAGAGCTTTTTCTAATTCAAGCTTCTATCATCTCAAGAAGCGTATTCAAGAGGTGCGTCCCATAACTACTTGCACTAGGATTTCAGTTTAGTGCTATTTGTTCGTACTCCGTAAAACGTGCCAAAACCATAGTGTTATTGAATGGAAACTAAATTGAATAAAACAAGTTTATTAAAATTTGATTTTTTAATTAAATATATATATAGAAATAGATGTAGTTACATTATATAAACATAAATTTCCTTAATTATTTATATATATGCATTTGAATTTATTATTTTTGTAAAAACCAACCCGAGCTGAATTACAAATATTGTTTATATAGTCGTATATCTATAAAGCTGATGAAAATTGAAAAATAAATATATGAAAACAAATTGTTCACCGCATTTTTCACTCCTAAATTTTTAACTTAGTACGAGATGGTCCAAAAATACGTTGATTGGACTGCTTGGTCTCATCTGGTTCTATGTCACACAACAATCACAAATCGACATTACATATATTTTGTCTAGCTCCACCGGTATTAACAAAAACAATATTAACGATATGCCTCTTTTGTAATGGCAGGTACTCATGGACCAGGTAGGGGTCTTCGGTTGCCAAGCGACAGTGAACTTCTTTGAGAAGCAGAATGCGATCTACCCGCCAACTACGAACAACGATGCAACATACAATCACTTGAAGAAAGTCACCATAGATTTACTCGGAGATAGCCACTTCACCTTGGCTCCACAGATGATGGGAGCCGAAGATTTCGCCTTCTACTCAGAGATCATCCCGGCCGCATTCTACTTCATTGGCATAAGAAATGAAGAACTTGGATCAGTCCACATTGGTCATTCACCACATTTCATGATCGATGAAGATAGTTTATCCGTTGGAGCCGCCGTTCATGCCGCCGTGGCTGAAAGATACTTAAATGACAAATATTCATAAGAACAAAGACAATCTTCCCGGCTTTTTTTTTGTGGTTATATTTTTAGGTGTTACGGAAATTATATTAAATCTATCTTTGCTTGGAAATGTTTGCGAAGAGTAGTTTTTTTTTTTTTTTTTTAATGTGTAAACCGCATATTGCGTATGATGGTATGGATTTTAGCTGAAGCGGTTAGAGTAAGAGATAGCGGTACAAAATCTTTTGATCGTTATATAGTGTAATCTGGGACAACTTTTTATTGATTTTATCATATGATATATTTGGACGTTGAGTATTTGCTACGAAATTTGTAACCATGTGATTATTCAGGTTTATATTCACAACAGAGGTTTCATATTTGATTCTTAGCTTGCAAGTGAAACAAAGAACAGTAACGTCAATGGAAGATAACTGCAAGGTTGAAATACCCAAAGTCCAAGAAGAAAATTACGGAATCCGAAAGCATACAAACGAGGAAGATTTCCAAGATTTTAGGTCAAATTTTTCTTGGTTCGTGTGGGATATTAATTTTTGGGTACTTTCTAAGGATTCATAAACTATAATATCTCTTTTGTGCAGCTTTAAGGATTGATCTAATATTGATATTGGCAATTCAAGTTCCATATATATTTTATACGTAGCTTGCATGTGAGACAATTCATAATAAGTAGCGTCCAATGAAGATCGTTTAAGGGTTGAAATGGTTTATGTGGTTTAAAGCTTTATGTAAGAAAAATCAATTTAAAAAAATATAAATACAAGAAGAAAAACAGGATTCACAAGCATACATACACATGTAGCCAGCTTTACATAAATATGAGATAGATTTAATTTATTTGAAATAAATGAATGCGCAAATACAAACAAACAATCGACGACTAGTTGGCTATAAATCGTTTATTGTGGCCGCATAATTTTGTAGCAGCTTGAAGAGCAAAGTATGTAAGAATGAGATCTGCACCAGCTCGGCGCATACAGATCAATGACTCCATCATAACTTTTTCCTCATCGATCATCTTGAGAAGTCCAGCAGCTTTGATCATGGAGTACTCACCAGAAACTTGGCAAGCTCCAATGGGTAAAAGAGTTTGGTCCTTCAATAAGCGTATGATATCGAGAGATAGCAGCGCTGGCTTCACCATTAGGATATCAGCTCCTTCAGCTTCGTCTTCTCGTGCTTCGAGCAATGCCTCTCTTGAATTTGCCGGGTTTATCTGATAACTTTTGTTTACCCACCATTTAACAACAACAAATTAGTTAGAAGGGCCACATAAGAAATCTTTTAGATACATACACATAATTATGCATTTAGACGAAAGTAATAATTAATGCTTACAAAGTTTTTGTTTTCTTAAAGCTTTTGATGCGTGCGTATATATAGTTAATAAAGATTTTCTTTTTATTTGTAAAAAAACTATATGGTAAGTTTATAACATTTAAATGCAAAAGTAAACACAAACGCTAACGTAAACATACAATCAAGATTATAGTTGTTGTTTTACGTACGTACTGTTGGGTAAAATAAAATCAATATCTAATTAGCCTATATTACGGTATTATCCACGTCAATTATTATCTTTTTGATATTAGGATAAATATATGTTAATGATAATCCAAAAAAGAGGGTTGGATTGAGATTTATTATTAGAGAATTCTAAAGGAGAAAAAAGGGGTCCGAGAAAAGGGAGAAAATCCTAAAAGCTTCTAAAAGACTACACGATGAAGAATCAATGGCCACGGTCTAAATAAATCAGCGATGATCTATCGCCTAACGACACGACGACTCATCGATTCTACCTAAAAGTATCAATTCCAACGGATCTACACCTAGATTCTCTTTTGATTATTGTTAGAAGATTATGATCTACTATTGTTTCACTTTTATATAAACAAAAGGTTACTTATGACTAAAATATCTCTTCATACGTTAATCCGTAGCACTGTGCATACACGAACCGGTTAAAAATTGCCCAAACACGTACGTTTTCTTGTCCAATTCCACTTTGCGAAAACGGCCATATAATGAACTTGTATACCTGTTGATAGTGACAACAACTGATTAGGTTGGACTAATTCGTAAAAAATAAAAGCAAGATAAGATTTTGTGAAGTTATTTACTTGACAGAGTAAGACATAATGGACACATGTTGAAAGCCCTCAGCATCTAGAGCTGCTCGAACCGCGCCTACACGACCATCCAACATCTCACTCGTACATACAACATCTGCTCCAGCTCGTGCCTGCATCCGTTCTTATTAGAATTTTAAACGTTTTGTTTCTTTAATGCAAAATTGTTTCATTTGTACCTGAGAAACTGCTTGTTTCCGCAATTGGTGAATTGTTTCATCATTCAATATCACGCCTATAGAACATAGATCTATGTTTTAGAAATTGCTGCGAAAGTGTCTTGTTATTTAAAAAAAAATTAAATGTACAAAATAGATTTCTTACCATCTTCTCTTACGATCCCACCGTGCCCAGTTGTTGAGTACTCATCAAAATTAACATCAGTGTAGATAACCTTGTGAAATGAATAAGAAGAGAGTCATTATTCAGTTTCAGAACCACTTCCTCTAGCTAGTGAGCAAAGAGGACATGCATATATGTATATGTATGTATCTTACAAGATCAGGGAACCTGTCCTTGAGAAGACGAACTGTCCGAGGTACTAGACCGTTGTCGTTAAATGCCTCTTCCCCTGTTGGAGACTAAACAAGGAAAGGTTGATTATTGATGTATGGGAACTTCATATATGGGTTCATAATAATTACGAGGAAAATGATGAAAACCTTTTTAGCTTCCGGAACTTTAGGATACAACTTTATGCTATTCACACCAACATCTCGTGCTCTTGCAACCTATTATCCTCAAAAGAAAAACACATTCAATAGTTAGCCTTAGAATGCTTCATTCTAATTATAAATATGGAGGCTTGTTTTGAAGTCAATTCTATATATTTTTAAGTCTTTATTTTAGGTCTTAATATAACAAACCGTTAACAAGATTATCTACATGTAAAATAAGGAGAAGACATCAAATTTATAGTCTCTAACTTTTTCATAAAGATACAAAACTCACTTCTTCGTTGAGGCCGTGTCTCCAGCCAAGCATGTAACGTCCAGGCATCGTTGTTATCGGAATGTCTACCTCACCTGCAAGGGTCCCAAGTGTCACGTAAAAATTTATAGAGAGTTATTTTCGATAGCTAGGGATCCCAGGCCGAAATCCAGACTAATCTCCATAGCATGTAAAACGTCACATATTCTTGCCATTTAAAGAGTCACATTGGCTGAATACTATTAATCATTTTCGATAACTAATCAAAACTCAAACTAACCTTCGTGAATGAAGAGGGGGTATATTAAATTTGCTGGAGAGATATTAGTCTCTTGAAAAGCAGCTCTCTGGGAAGGGCACTTTCGGTTACGACGTGCACGTCGGCTTAGCTGCTGAAACACTTAAAACTCACATTAGATTGAAAATAACAAAAGAAGTTTAAAGCCAAAACAAAAAAAATGTGTTTAGGCCCAAAACGTTTTGGTTTTAAAATAAGTGTTTACTTACAAGAGGCTGGTCAATCACAGGTTCGGCTAGTTTACTCGGCAATGGAGGCGCCTCGGGAGCATTTACCGGCCATATCAAGGTCGAGTCGATCTTTTGCAGTTGACTAGCAACTTCACTGCTTTTAAAAGAGTTGACTCTGACGTTATACGAAGCTGCTTTAAGGCCTACGTAGCTCTTTTGCTCAAAACCTTTCACCGACGGAATCTTGCAAGGTGATCTAAACATGGATGACGTCATGTATATATGCTGAAAAATAGGGAATAAATAAACTCGTGAATGAGACTAAGATGAATGCACCTCAGAGAGTGAGACTGTTAATTTATAGACCTTTTTTCTGCGAGAGAGAAATCATTGAACATTAAATTATTCTCTTATTCTGTTGTTGTAGTTGGCAAATCTCGATCATCTTAGAGTGCAAAAGTATCTTTTAAGCATATCTTAATTGGGTGATCTACGATCTCTGGGTGTCACGAATCTTTAGTTGATTTTAAACAAAAAAAAAAAAACTTGTAGTTGACTAAATCAAGGCTGTCTTCAATGATTTTCATGCCATGTTCAAAATTTTAATAATAAAAATATTTAATGTGTTCAAATAATTTTTTTTGTCTTTTTAAATTATATGACCAAATATTTAATTTGGTTTTCTTTTTGTCTACTCGAACGTGTTATAAGATATCTCAAGACAAAATTTGATATGATATCGTAAGATATATTTTGTTCCAACTTTTTTTTTTTTGTAGTTGTTAGGACATTTTAAATGACGAAAAATCAGATCCTGATTTTGAGCTTCGTCGTTTTGATTCAAGATTCCTCTACAGAATATATACATGTATAAAGAGAGAGGAAGTGAGTGACCGTATTTTTTCTCTTTTGTTTACGTTGACGATTCCATTTGACACACATACTATACACAATTTTGGTGAGAGACGAATCTTTTTAGTTGACGAAATATGATATGATAAGTAGAATACAAACCAATCACCGCTGTTAACTTTTTCTTTTTGTGTTAGCCTAAACGTTTTAAGTGATGGAATATCTTATATATTTTTATAAATTTCCATATTATTCGTTTTGACATAATTTTTCTGAGTGTACACATGAGTGAGGATATGCATGTTGAGTGTACACATCTTGCATTATTGAGAAAATAAATTAAAATTAAAAATAATAAGAATTTCTTAATATATATAAGGCATGAATTATGGAGAAATTAATGGAACTTGGACGCTAAAGCTACCCAATACATTTTGGCTCGAGTGGGACGAGATAAACTATCAAATTTCTTTTATAGTTTCTCTGATAGATATGTTTAATTTGTTTTCAGTTTGCTTCACAATAATAAAAATGATTTTTAAAAATATATCTAAATTAATTGAGATTTCATATTATTTGAATAATTTTATTTTCTAGCTAAACATGAAATTTAAATTTGGGACCAAATTTAGGAAATCTGGAATCAGAATTCTTTTAGAAACCATATGAAAATGGAAAATATAGGAAGACTGCTATTCTTAAGGAGGGGTTATTGGATCATTGATTTGAATAGAATTAGAAATCCCTATCACATTTGGAAATTCACACATAATCCACTGATTTTAAAATCAAATAATGTGGATTTGAAAATCAAATAAAGTTGATTTTAGAGTCAAATAAAATGGATTTGAAAATCATAGAAAAGAGATTATAAAATTAAAACATGAAATTTTTTATGATAAACAAAATAACCTATCATGTTCTCATCTATGAACTCTGAATTGAATCACTCCACATGTTTGATGTTCTTGTTTCTCTCTACTAATTGTTCTCCACACACATATGGGAAGATATCAAAAAGTCCATAATTAGGAAAAAAAAACAGTTCGTTACGATGCGGTTAAAGTGATTCACCAATTAGGGATGAAAGAAATCTTTGTTAGTATGTCTACTAATGAACGTCATGGTTGGATTAAGCGTAACATTATGGAATGTTAGATTAATTATTTTTTTTGTTTTCTAGTATTATTGGTTTTCTAGAATTTTTCCTCTAGTCTTGTTTGGTTTCGAAAACCTTCCTTTGTTTTCTAGTATTTTTGATTTTTATTATATGATAAAATATACTTTTATATGAAGGTGTTTCATGATCTTTTATATTAACAGTTTTTTTTTGTGATCGATATGTTTGAAAGTATTATACGAATATGTTTCATGATTTTTGTATTAGCAGTTTTTTTTTTCTTTTTGATATTCAAAACATTATGGAAAATAAAAACTACTAATATTTTTTTTTTTTCAAATCCACCCAAATAACTAGGTGGAACCCAAGGATTTCAATATCTCTATTTATAACTAAAACAAATTTTCAAATCCATTCAAATCCAATATGAAATCAAATCCATACTCAAATCTTCAATATTGAATAAGGGGTGATTTTAACTAGTATTTGTAAATCATAGAACCAATAACACATGATTTTTATAAAGATTTTAAAATCAATGATTGAATAACACATGATTTTAGTTAGATTTCCAATTCCATTCAAATCAATGATCCAATAAACCCCCCTAAAACAGATTTTCAAATCCATTCAAATCCAATATGAAATCAAATCCATACTCAAATCTTCAATATTGAATAAGGGGTGATTGTAACTAGTATTTGTAAATCATAGAACCAATAACACATAATTTTTATAAAGATTTTAAAATCAATGATTGAATAACACATGATTTTAGTTAGATTTCCAATTCCAGTCAAATCAATGATCCAATAAACCCCCCTTAATATATCGGGAACCAAAATATTTAGCAACCTAATTATCCTTTGAAATCAAGAGTATGCTAATTTTTTGCAGAATGCCAAACATGTCTTCTAAGTTCTAAATCATATTACAACATATTTGCTTATAAGTCAATTGCATAAAATATATATATACAGTTTTTACTATTTCAAAATTTTATTAGTTAAATAAGTTTTACTTTACTTTTTCATAAAATTGGTATTATTATAGAGAAATTGTTAAAAATGCCCCTTTTTCAATACTCCTTTTCAAAAATGCCCCCTTTGAAAGTCCATTTTTAAGTTTGCCCTCTTTTAATTTTTAATGACCATTTTACCCTTATTTGAAACAAAATTAGGTCCACAAAATACAAAATATTTTTTGGCGGGAAAAGTGATCCCGCAATTTTCCCGCCAAAACACTTGTAAAAATCTTTAAAATACCTTGTAAAATTTTCCCATAAAAATTTTTCCGCCAAAAAATTTTTTAGCGGGAAAATTTTTTTTGCGGGAAAAGTGATTCCGCAATTTTTTTGGCGGGAAAAATTTACAAGGTATTTTAAAGGTTTTTACAGAGCATTTACAAGTGTTTTGTAAGGTTTTACAATGTATTTTAAAAGGTTTTACAAGGTACTTATAAGGTTTTATAAGGTATTTATAACTTGTAAAAAACCTTATAAAAAACTTGTAAAACCTTATAACTTGTAAAATCTTATAAAATAGCTCGTAAAATCTTATAATATCTTATAAATACCTTATAAATACGTTGTAAAACCTTTTAAAATACATTGTAAAACCTTATAAATACCCTGTAAAAAACCTTGTAAATTTTTCCCGCCAAAAAAATTGCGGAATCACTTTTCCCGCAAAAAAAATTATTGGCGGGAAAAAATTTTACGGAAAAATTTTACAAGGTATTTTAAAGTTTTTACAAGTGTTTTGGCGGGAAAAATTGCGGGATCACTTTTCCCGCCAAAAAATATTTCGTATTTTGTGGACCTAATTTTATTATATTTCCTTATATATTTGTGATATCTTTTATTAAAAGAAAGGTAATTTAGTCATTTTGTACATAAAAAAGTGTTTTTGTAAAAATGCACAGTCAAAAGGGGTATTTTTGAAAAAAAGTATTGAAAAAGGGGCATTTTTGTGAGTCTCCCATTATTATAACACTTAGAAATATTTTCTCAACCACACTTTCAAGATGCTTTTCCAAATTAAAAATTTTCATTATTCCTAGAAACACTACAAAAATAGGGGTGATTAACGTCAGTTTTATTGTGTCAAAAATTTAACTGACGCAAATTCGAATTAATTAATAATAAGTGACACTAATTTGGCAGTTCAATATCATTTCTAATAAGTGATGTAAATAGCACCTGATTTATGACGTTTGTTTGAAATTGATGCTAAATAATCTAAATTTGCATCACTTTTAACAAGCAACACTAATAATTCGTATTTGTAACAGTAATATGACTGATGCTTTTGCAAATTGTTTCGTATTTTTAATAAAAAATTTTTTGCATCAATAACAAGTAATACTAATTTAATGAAGAGCAAAGAGAAGCCTCTTATTGCTGGCAGATGTTAATTGGGTTGTTCATAGGCAATGGAAGAAGGACATGAAAATCGGAACGTGGGCAACTCCGGTACTTAGGATTACAAGATCTGGTTATATTAAGTTCATTAGCTATATTTCTTTGTGGATTATGTGTTTGCTTTCTTTAAACAGTGATATCTACATTTTGTTACATTCAACTAGGTTTTATATTTGATGCATTTTTATTTTATCACGTATTTAATAGATTTGATATATTATTTATAAAAGAACAAAGTTTATTATAAAATAAAAAAAAAGAATTATTACTTCGATTGTAGAAGTGATGCATAACCATTAACGATGACTATATAAAGTGATGCAACAACAATTTGTTAGAATCAATTACAATAAATGATATAAATATTTTTTATCATTTTTTTATAAACGTCACAAAATTTAATATCAGCTATGATAAACTGATACAATTTATTTCATCGTTTATACTAACTGATGTCACTATTAATATCACATATTTTAAATGATACAAATTTACCATCTCTTGTGAAAGCTGACGCAAATTATTTACATCAATTATTAAAAATGTTAGTAATATTTACATCGGTTATTGTAGTCGTCGCAATATTTACATCATTTCTTATAACTGACGTATTGTAGTATCATTCGTTATAATTGATTGAAATGTTGCTATCGGTTGCTATAATCGATGCATTAATTTGCATCGCCACTTTTGATATCAATTATATAAGTGATGGTAACTCATTTGTATCATTCGATAACTGATGTAAGTATAGAAAATAAGTGATGCTATCCACATGTTTTTTTTTTAAAGTTTAAACTTTTATAGCAAAATACTATTAATGTTCCTAAAAATGCATAACACTTTCACATCACTCAATACTTTTTTCATATCAAACACACAATGAGCAGACACTCTCATCTCCTTTAAAAACTCTTCCTCCATGTATACTACTCTATGTGTACAATTAACAAGAGTACGTAAATTATTAGGGGCTTCGATTTAATTGGATTAAATACATATAAAATTTAAAAATGCGGTGCAGATATCATCCATACATACTTTGTTCTTCCAGCCACTAAAAAATTATGCGTTAAAAGTTAACAAATTATAATAAGTTAGGCATCAAGGACTGCATCGATCTTCACCTTTTCCACATCGATCATCTTGAAAACTTTGCGGCTTTGATCATTGAGTACTCACCGGAAACTGACAGCTCCAATGGGCAATAAAGTATGATCCTTTTGCTAAGTGTGTATAATATGGAGAGAAGGGAGAACTGGCTTCACCTTTAGGACATCAGTTCCTTCAGCTTTGTCTTCTCATGCTTTGATCGATGAGTCTCTTGGATTTTCTAGGTCCATCTGATCACTTTTGTTCACCCACCATTTGACAACAACAAAAAATTAAAACATGCTAAGAATCTTGAATGTTTAATGAGCCTAATTGCTTAATGTTCTAAGAAAAAATCGTTCAAAATGGGCCTAATCGCTTAATGGTCTAGCTTGATGAAGTGAATCTCGAATAGTTATGCTCATGTCTTTTAAATTTTTTTGGCATGAGCATGCATGTTAGCGTCATTTGTCATTTTAGGTTAAGCTCATTGTAATGATAGTTACACTCTTATCCAAAAAAGATGCTAAGAAATCTTTATATACAAAAAACATGATTATTCATTTGTGTTGGCAGTGTTTTAATTGTTTCAAAGGCCAATTTATTATTTTCTGCTCACATACGTTTACATGTATTTCTTTTTTGTAAAAACTTTTTCATTTTTAAAACTAATTTTTTTGGGTATCTAATTTTGTAGAGTGTCAACACAAATGTTAAATGCAAATGAAGTTTTTGTTTTCTTCGTGGCGTGTGCGTGTTGTCAACTTGTCATTTAATATATAAATATTATTCAAAATACTAGATATTTTGGTTTCACTCCGAGTTATCAATACAATTCATCATACATTTGTTCTTTGCAAATTTTCTATTTGCATGGCTCTTAGGACGAAGATGTAAACCTACTCCCCCAAATCTAATTTAGGAAATTTGTGTGCCTCATCATCTTGCATCATTATTGTTTTCATATGAACGTTGAGAAAAATAACCCATATATATGTAAAACATGTAACAATCGATGTAAAAACAATATTGGCAGCTTGACATATCACATTATTTCCGTGACCCTGATATCTAGTAAAACGTAAACGACGTGATTTGGGAAAAATGTTTTATAACTTATCTTCTAATGAGATAACAGTTGCGAAAACTGATTTTAAATAGATAGATAGATGTTTTATATGCTCTCGTATGAGCATCTATGAAATTTGATCTTTCATATTTTTAAAAGATTAGTGTAAAATAAAAGAATAATAATAAATGAAATCACCTCGAGCTCTATATAAACGAGTCCAGCCTTACAAAATTATATCCGTGCACAAATAAGTTCATTTACACTGACTAATCTATAATTTTTGCACTAATCATGAGGAGCTTCATTTTAACCTCAACACTCTTTGTAGCTCTGCTATGCTTTGTCTCTCTCCCGATTTCAACCGTTGGTTTTCGAAAGATACCGTGGCCTAAGCCATCAGAACTAGTGGCAAGCCACGGCAAAGTCTCTGGCCGCCTAAGAGACTCTAAGATTGGTTCGGCTACCTCTTCCGTATCAGACTCTAACGCACCTCTATCACCCCCAAGATTGCTACCGGGATTTCCCAACATCCCGTGGCTTCCTAACATCCCGGGAATTCCCATCATCCCAATCCCGGAAATACCAAACATTCCAAGGATTCCTAACATTCCGGAAATACCAAACATCCCAGGGCTTCCTAACATTCCGGGCCTCCCTAACCTCCCAGGATTTCCTAACCTCCCTAGACTTCCGGGACTTCCTCCTTTACCGCGGGTCCAATCGGAAGTTGTATCGAAATCGGCTAAAGTGGAGAAGTGCTTGACGAAAGATGGATCAAAGACCTCAGAGAAATGCTTTTCACAAATATTGTCTAGCTCGGCAAAGAAAGATATCGCATTGGACAAGGAGTGCTGTGAGATTGTTGTGAATATGGACAAGAAATGCAATAGGCACGTTCACATGTTGTTCAAGAGCCCATTCATTGTTCCTCTTCTTCGATACTCGTGTCACATCAAGCACACCAAAGTCTAAGCGAGTCCCTCCAATGGATATTTAGTTATATATGTTTGCCGTATAGAGTATGCGTCATTTCCATAGTTTCCTGTCGTGATAATCTCATGGACTTATTGTTGGAGTATTTACTACTCTTAACTCATCTCTTAGAATTCTACACATCATCTCTTAGAATTCTACACATTTATCTCTTGCTTTGACCATCTCTATGTCTCTTCGATTCTCTCTATGTATTGTGTATATATATATATCTGTAATCCTTCTGTTTCAATCAATAAAATAAGAGATTCTCTTCTATTCTACATGATGTGTAGAATTCTAAGAGATGAGTCAAGAGTAGTAAATACTCTAACACTTATATATTATTACTTCTCTTCGTTGAGTGATAGGGGGCACTTGAACAAAATAACTGAATTGAAACTGAAAAAATTCAATTGTCGCTATAAATTATAGATTGTGAAGTGAAATTGTAAACAATTTTATGTGTTTTCATTTATTTAACTTCATTTCTATCTTCTATTTTTTGCTCAACAATATGATTTTAACTTCAATCTAAAAAAAAAAAGAAAGCCCTATAATTTCTTATTTATAATCGTTCTAGATTTTATGGGAATGCAATAGAATTTTTGTTTTTGAAAGATATGGGTAAAGCACCTGAATTCTTTTACCAAGTGAAACAATTTTTTTTTTTATATCCTTCAAAGATGTGATGATAACGTGATGGAAGCCAAGGTGAAGCACAAGAGGACCACAAATTTTTTTAATCAAGAACTAGAATCATTCTCTCCTAGAAGTTGATAGAGAAAGAAGAGGAGACTATCAAGAAGCTCGACGATGCTTTGAAGCAAGTTGCAAATGGAAACCATCTCAAATCATCAAGTGTTGAAACCCAAGAAGGAAATGGAACAACAATAAACTTAGCGACATTATATTTGAGAAAGAATCAAATTTAGTTTCTAGATATGTTGAGATGATTTAGGTAAAACATTAATAGAAGAAAAAAAAAAAAAAAGGTAAAACATTAATTTGAAATCTCAAATTAATGTTGCAATCTTCCGCTAGTTCAAGATGAAGATGATATAAAAGATGAAGTCGAATTCAAAATTCTTGTGAAGAACTAATGCATTTGCAATGACCGACTAGAGAAAGGAGAAGTGCTAGTTCGGGTGAATGTATAGCATTTCTTCAGGAACATAAGGAAAATCAAACCTTAATGCAAGATGATCCTTTCAACTTTCTTTATACAATGTGGGGAAAACGGTCTATTTCCCCACGAGAAGTATCACATCATAACAGATAGAGCCCGTACTTTGATCCCGATCCATATATCCATAAAATGGAAGTTCTATTCCTATTTCTCCTCGAATCAAAAGTCTTTAATCTAATTGTCCACATACCTTGATTTGATCGGTTTGCAACTGTACCGATAGAAAACCACCTAAACCTGATACTAAACCGAAACTAAATCCGACCCGACTGAAAACCTGACCCAATGTGAACAGTTTTTTTTTTTTTTGGCAACAGCTTTCTTCTTTACATTGGCCAAATACTTGAAAATCTCTACCTATCTAATGACACGATCATGACTTTGACAAATTCTTCATAGTGAATCTGACCATCACCATCAACATCGGCTTCTCGAATCATCTCATCAGCTTCCTCATCATATAGCTTCTCCCCGAGATTTGTCATCACATGTCGAAGCTCTGCTGTAGATATGAAACCAGTCTAGTCTTTATCAAACACCCTAAAAACACTCATCTTCTTCTTCTTCTTCTTCTTCTTAATCACTCTTCTTCTTCTTCTTCAAATTTCAAATACTTGAAATTTGATCTCCGTTCTCTTCTCTCATCATCATTGCTTGAACACATCCTTAAAAAATTGAAACCAACCAAATCTCTAATAAACAACAACAAATCCCCAAAATCTAACACCTCTCATAAAATTCTCAATCCAACTAGTTCTCAAACTCAATTTCCTAAATTTTCAATCCGAAATTTGTATCTGATATATTTAATTCACAACCATGATAATTGGGGAAACGGGTAAAAAATAATCACAAGGCCTCGCGAATCGATCAAGACAACCCGACATGAGGAATCAAAGATCTCCACGAGATTATCCATTGTGAGAATTTGATCCTCTCAACTTTGACCTGAACACTCAAGCAAATCCCCATGATTGATTAGTTTCATAGAGAGACCCAAATTAGTACGACTTCAATCAGATGTTTGTGGAAGGAGATCCTTTTTCATGGCGATTCTAGCAATCATTCATCTCGGCGTCATGTACGTTGGTCCCGTTTTGAAGTAGAGATTTTCATTTAAATGTGTGAATCAATCACACCAAATCCGATTAGATCTGCAAATTCTCTACAAAATCAAAGTCTGAATCTAAAATTCATTTACAAATGACAAATCAATTGATCCGTAGCAAGAAGCAAATTGGGTGAAGAAGAAGTTGGGTCGGGTGGGTTGTAATTGGGTCTGGGTCAATTGTTATCTGGTATAAATTCGGTTTAGTATCATATTTAGGTGGTTAACGTTTGTTGATATATAGTAAACCCACCCAAACCAAAGACTATGGGTATTTAGATCTCGAACTATTTACTCGGGGATATGTAGTTATAGAACTTTTGATTCGGGGAGAAATAGGAATATAACTTCCATTTTATGGATATATGGATCGGGATCAAAATATGGGATCTATCTGTTATAATGCGATACTTCTCGTGGAGAAATAGACCGTTTTTCCTACAATGTGTTATCATATTTCAGAAGAAGAGTACCCAATACTAGACAATAAAGTTTGGGAACATTTCCACCCAAAAAAAACTTTGGTGGGTGAATATGGATATTTAAGACTAAAAAGGATTCAAGCAAAAATGTGGAGAGATTTGAGGCTCGCCTAATGGCTGAAAATTGTACTCATAAATGAAGGATCAACGACAAAGAAATAAGCCACCGATTTGAGCTTAGTTTTGACATGTACTCAAACTTATAATTCTTGATATTAAATTCACTTAGATTAATATTGCTTACATAAAGCTTGTGACATTTTACCATTTTTTATATCTGCTTTGTTTTCATAAATTAATTAAAAAGATAGATTTTAAATATTAAGATTTGTCTATTAATTTTCTTTTCAATTATTTTTCTTTTATAGAAGAACTTATAGTTTTATTTCTTAATATAAAATATAAATTATAAATGGTATTAACAATCTATATATAATAGCAATCTCAATAAATACTTTGCACCTTTGAACGGTTGCATTTTTTTATCGCAACTTTTTGTTTAAATATTTATGGTTATTTTTTTGTTGTGTTTTTTTATCGCATCTTTTTATTGAAATATTTACGGGTTTTTTCACGGTTGTGTCTTTTTATCGCATCTCTTCGTTAACATATTTACGGTTTTTTTTATAGTTATATTTGTTCAATTACAATCGTATCATTTCAGTTTACGGTTGTGTCTTCATAGTTGCATCTATTCATTTAAAGTTACGTCTAATAATATATAGATTTAAATTTTGGTTTTTTAACAAAAAAAAATATATTTTACGGTTGTTTTTTTTTCAAAAAGTTGCAATATGAATAAATATTTTCTACGGTTGCATTTTTTTATCGTAACACCTCATAAGCAATTGGATTGTTTAGTTGAACCATTGCAACATTTACTTTATTTAATGAACAATTTTAAATTTTGATTAATTTTATAAATTCTTAAAATATTTAATTTTTTTAAAAATAAAAATATATATTTTACGGTTGATTTTTTCTTTTAGAAAATTATGATCCGAATAAATATCTTCTATGGTTGCATTTTTTTATCCTAACTTTTCGTAAACGGTTGCAACGGTTTAGTTGAACCACTGCAACATTTAGTTTATTTCACGAACAAATGCAACTCTTGTTTTATTTTATAAACCGTTATAACATTAAATTATCTACAATCACGTCTTTCGGTGTAACTTTTTATAAACTATTATTTCAATTTTAGTTATTAAAATGTATTTAAATAAAATTGTAACTGTTTAATTGAACCGTTGCGACATTTGGTTTATTTGACAAATCATTGCAACTTTTGGTTTTATTTTATGAACCGTTGTAATCTTTAGTTTATTTGACGAACCGTTGCAACATTTGGTTTTTGTTTGACAAACGATTGCAATTTTTACTATATATGATATCTACGGTCGCGTCTTTTGGTAGAATTTATTTTATAAGAATTTTAAATTTTATGAAATTGGCTGGAGGTTTAAGTTCCGTGTCCCTTCTCATTTAGCTAACATTACGATCGTTTATATTATTTGTGAATGCAGCAACTGTTGTGCAAACTTGATAAACCTTAAAGACTTGAGGCCCAAGATTAAACTAAATAAGTCGGTTTAGTTAATAGATTTGGGATAAGATTTAGCTAGGTTAGGAGTTATCAAATCCTAGTGTGTTTAGGACTTTTGGTTTTGTATAAATAGAGGTACCTAGATTGTGGTAACCCTATGAGTTGTTTTGAGATTAAGAGAGATTGTGTAACCTTTGTTTTGAGTAAGTTTCAAAGGTAATAAGAAGAGTTGTTCTTATAAACACAAAGTCTTGATCATTAGGTTTTGATCCTTAGTTCTTAATTCAATATTTGGTATCAGAGCCATACTCTTGGATTGAGTAACCTAGGATCTAAAAGAAAGCTTTACACGCTACGAACAGAGTTCGTTAAAGGTAAAGCATGGCTGATATAATCCCGGTTCCAGCTAGGAACAAGGAGACTAGTTCTTCTATACAGTGCCCGATGCTTAGCACATCAAACTACACTGCATGGAACATGCGAATGAGAGGAGTACTTAGGGTTCATAAGGTTTGGGATACAATAGAACCAGGAAACGACGATGTAGAAAAGAATGATTTAGCTAAGGTTCTCTTGTTTCAATCTATACCAGAAGCAATGATTCTTCGAGTGGGAGATTATGAAACTGCAAAAGAAGTCTGGAATGCGATCAAAACAAGAAACCTAGGTGCTGAAAGGGTAAAAGAAGCTAGATTACAAACTCTAATGGCTGAATTCGATAAACTAAAGATGAAAGAAACAGAGACAATAGAAGAATTTGCCGGAAAACTTTCTGAAATATCAACAAAAGCAGTTACATTAGGGGAAAGCATTGAGGAACCTAAACTTGTCAAGAAGTTTCTTAAAAGTGTACCTCGTAAGAAATACATTCACATAGTTGCTTCTCTTGAACAAGTACTTGATTTAAAGACAACAAGTTTTGAAGAAATAGTCGGAAGACTAAAAGTATATGAAGACAG